GTGAAGGCATCAGCGTGTCTTATGTATGTGACTGCCTCTAAGGAGCTGGTCATGTGATTGGGATGGGAGCCAATGGGGAATCGCGTCACATGAATGGTTTGGGGTCCACAATGTCTGAAACTGGGCCTGCAAAGGTCACAAAATGCACAGTGTTTCTGATAATTGAGGTCACATGCCCCCATACAACACCCCAATCACCTGCAGTGGAAGTGGGTGGTCTTCTGCCCATAGAACTGGCATTCCACAGTGCCACAGTCCTCGGTGGCGCGGAACCTCTGGAAGCCATCGTTGATAAGTTGGGCGTTCTTCTTGTGGAAGTTCTCATGGGTCATGACGTCAGAGGTGCTGGTATACACCTTGTTGCATCCCACCTGCAGCAATACAAGAACATTTTACCTAATAACTCAATTACTAGAGAAAAGCGTGGAAGAATAGAATAGTGCAATAGATCGCCACGTGTTAGCGTAGAAACGCCAAATTTGCAGTGCGATATAAACATTACTGGTGAACTGGGGTAAAAATAGCTTTTAAAGTGAACATTGTGGGCAGGGAAGATTCCGGTAACCTATGCGAAACCTACATCTTTTCTTTCATGCCTTTTACCACAGGTCCCTCTCAGCATTGCAAACTGCAAAAACGCTATGAAACAGGTTCGAAAACGCAATAGGAAAAGTAACTTTGAAAATGCAGAGAGTCAGGCTCTGTACAGGCGGCTGTCCGACACTTGGCAGCTGACGGGCTTCGGGTGTGAATTTTTAAGCAGCTAAACTTATTTCTGCTCTTTTTCACCCAGTTGCAGTTGGCAAAGCTCGCAGCCGCCTCCCGTGGACTAAAGCAGCCCGTAAAGCACTGGGTTAGGGGTGAAAGGAAAAAAAAGAGAGAAAAGAAATGAGAAAATGGCGTATGTTTGAATTTGAGCAAGCAACTGTATAATACGCCTGGCCCTTTTCAAGCCAGGCAAAGCGGGCAACTTCACCATATTGAGTCAAGCAATGAAAAAAATGCCAGCGTGTTTTTTTCACAGTAAATCAGGAGACGCAATGCCAACATCTGCGGGTCGTCAGGGCTGTTAAAACAAGAGCTGAAATGTCTAATAACAATTACGCCGTTAGGGGGGTTTAAAAAAGAATATATCTTGAGCCATCCGCCCCCGGTGCCTTTTTTCCGGTGAGGAGCCCCCTGCGCAATGACACCTTGAAAATAAGCAGATGTAAAAAAATTAAACAAATCTGGTGGGGAAATAATCTTCAACTCGCTGCTTGGTACTAAAAGATGAAAAATGTTAAGTTTATATAAACAACCAACAGAATTTTACCCATGCCAATTAAGGAGCGAGAGAGAGAGGGGAACACGCCTCTGTTTAATGTTCGGCCTTTAAATTTTTCTGTTATTTACTTTATGACACCTTTTGTCAAACGAACGAAAACCGTTCTTAAATGGCAATTTCGGCTTAATGGAAAAAGTGGAAGAACGGCATTTTCCTTTTATGGAGGCAGGGCAGCTGCTCACGGGTCCTGCTATCAGGGGTCAGAGCCACCAACCTCCAGGGCATTACGGACCCCGTGTCTGTATGGGAGGCGCTGCACTGATTGCACACACAAACTTTGGTGAAGCCTGTATTGGGAAGGGATCGGTGTGGGGGTGATGAGTGAGTGTTTTATGTATGACCGGGATAAAGCTGGTGAATATTATTTTATTGGGGGAGGAGATCTCTCAAAACACCCCCCTTGAGTTTTGTAGGTGGGTAAAGATCAGGTGGATATAGAGGCTGAGCTCGAGCCCCAGTGGTTGCAGGTTTGAATCCAATTGGGGGGGGGGGTTGGTTTCTGGTAGGGGCCTGTGTGTGCGCGCGTGCGCGTGTGTGTGTACGCGTGCGTGCGTATGTGTGTGCGCATGCATTTGTGTGTGTGTGCGCATGCATTTGTGTGTGTGTGCATGTCTGTCTGTCCGTGTGTGTGTCTGTCTGTGTGTGTGTGTGTCTGTCTGTGTGTCTGTCTGTCTGTGTGTGTGTGTGTCTGTGTGTCTGTGTGTGTGTGTGTGTGTCTGTGTGTGTCTGTCTGTGTGTGTCTGGCTGTGTGTGTCTGTCTGTCTGTGTGTGTCTGTCTGTCTGTGTGTGTCTGGCTGTGTGTGTCTGGCTGTGTGTGTCTGTCTGTGTGTGTGTCTGTCTGTCTGTGTGTGTGTCTGTCTGTCTGTGTGTGTGTGTGTCTGGCTGTGTGTGTCTGTCTGTGTGTGTGTCTGTCTGTCTGTGTGTGTGTCTGTCTGCCTGTGTGTGTGTGTGTCTGTCTGTCTGTGTGTCTGTCTGTCTGTCTGTGTGTGTGTCTGTCTGTCTGTGTGTGTGTCTGTCTGTGTGTGTGTCTGTCTGTCTGTGTGTGTCTGTCTGTCTGTGTGTGTCTGTCTGTGTGTGTCTGGCTGTGTGTGTGTGTGTGTCTGTGTGTGTCTGTCTGTCTGTGTGTGTGTGTGTCTGGCTGTGTGTGTCTGTCTGTGTGTGTCTGGCTGTGTGTGTGTGTGTGTCTGTGTGTGTGTGTCTGTGTGTGTGCACACGCTTTACCTGCATGCAGTGGTAGTGGGTGCTCTTGCCGTTGAGGTGGCAGCCGTGGTAGTAGACACTGCAGTCATCCAGCGGGCTGAAGCGCATGAACCCGTGCTGCAGGGAGTTGTCCCGCTTCTTGTGCATGTTGTAGTGCCGGATCACGTCCTGCTTACTGGTGAATCTCTGCCAGGGGACGTGACACATGGCGACAGGTTGCTGTTATTCCCCTTTCCCCTTTTTCTAAATATGAGAAGCCAGCAACAGGTTGCTCTATCACTCTGGCAACAGCTGCCGCCCACAGAAGCCAACTGGCAGACGGCGGAGCGGCGAGGGAGCCAGCGGAGGCCAGACGCGGCTCTGTCTGGCCCTCGTACGTTTTTGGTTCCCCCCCCCCCCCCCCCGCCCTGCTCGCCGCCGTTTGTTCTCCGCGGTGCCGGCAGAGACGGACTGGCACCTGCACACGTGAGCACGACTCCAAAGGATTAGAAAAAAAAAAAGCCGCCTTTGTTATTGTACCTACCGACTTTTAATTAAGACAAGATCACGGTTCCGATGTTCTTGGCTTGGAAAAGGGGAATAAAAAAAAAAAAAACGTTCCGTGCAGATGGTTTTCAAACGTGCGATGGGAAAACAGACTAACAAACAAACAAATCAACCAAAAATGTCTCCCCCTTAATTCCCCCTTTTGAGATGCAGTTCCATTTTTAATTAAAGCATTAAAGCTTATTTTTCTTGTAGGGTCTGAACGTAATAACAGGGGGACTTGCCATTATTCCCTCCTACACCAGAGTACGGGAGCCACGTTCGGTCAGGAGAGACTGAGGCAACTGATTCTGCTGTAATTTAGCTTAAGCTGGTGTTACAGGGACTGAAACCAGAGAAGCAGAAATCAATTAGCTTGTCCAACCCTAATCCAATGTGGAAAAAAAGCAGCGAAATTTAAAAGAGCATTTCATTTTGTACTGAAATTGTTAACAAATTGCCTGTTTGCTTAATTTAGAGATATATTTGCATTGAGTAGCGCGACACCGTTGCCGATTAACTTGGCTGAGAAGCAGGCTTTGCTCAAAGCCGCGGTCCATCTGACCCGTGAAGCGGCCGGCCGGTCCCCTCCCAGCTCTGTTACGCTCTCTGCGGACCCCCAGCTGAAATTATAATTACAATAGGAGACGGACTTGGCATTGACGGCTACTTAGCCACAGTTATTGGACTTGTATAGCGTCAGAGCGAATGGCAACATGAACTCTCGACTGTCACCGATAGCTGGGACCGTGTCCCGGCTCCCACATCACGCAAGGTGCTTTGCATAACCAAATACGTTTTTTTCTGCCTGGTTTGCACTCTGACATGATCACAGTGTATGATTTTTGACAGCTGAACACAGATGCTGGGTTGTCATGCAGTAATAACAGGTTAAAGGGTATTATGTGTCGTAACTAAGAGTGACTGACGGACGTTACTCATTTCCCAGTGCGTTTGTAAAATCACAGCATGGCTTGGGGGCCGGCTTCTGTCGGCGTCTTCGTACAGCAAAACCAGAACAGGCCAAAAAGTGAGCATGTTAAAAAACGTTAAGTGACAGTAACTCTAATAAAAACCTGAAAAACGAAATAGAAAAAGCTTTATGTATTAAAAGAAGGAAGACAGGCTTCCTCATTAACTGGGTGATGGAACTTGCCACATATATTTCAGGATTTCCATGAAGGAGCAGAAGCGTGTGAAAGGAGAAGGCCTGATGGGATTGGTGGCATGATCCCACGGGGGGAGGCCGTCTCACAACTTATCATCCGCAAATGGTTTGGATTTGAGACTTAAAAGCTCTGCTGAACATGCAGTTTTCTGTTTGCTGGCCCATGTCATGTGTATCACATCTCAAAACAGTGTTTTTCTGTTTGACAGCTGGAAAGATGAAGAAAAGAAGAGCTCATCGTGTGAAAGGGGAATGTAAATAACTGAGAGGGGACCTATTTGCAGAATAATACTTGGTGCTAAATGCGAATACAGTCCTAGCTGTCGCCTTTTTATGTATTTAAAGACAGCTTTTTCCAAAGTACAAAATTTAGCATGTATATATAATTGCACAGATATATATAGAGATTTTAAGTGAATACTCATTGCTGTTAACAATTAAAAGCAGAGAAATATGGTCCAAAAGAAATTCAAGAACAAATCAATTCACCAAGCGCTCCAGACACTTTGTAAGACGTGACTGTGTAAGATACGTAGCATCTAAATTCTCCAGGAGTGAACACATACATACACACAGATATTCGCACATGTAAAAACCAAATGCTTATATCTTGAAGGTGATCTGACCCCGGCAATAAACCTGCGTCTATCTGCCTGCTGTTTTACAAGTGCACACAGGCAGACAAACACAATCTCCGTTTTGATCTGCTTAATGCGTATTTTATTTGTGCTGAACATGACAACCTAGGGGACCCAGGACGAGATTAATAACGTAAAAGGGGATTAGGAACCGGCCCTTGAGCTGAAGCAGATGTCTCCATAAGAAAAAAACAGAAATCGGAGCCATATTTTACCCATATTTACAATTAACCCCAAAGGAAAGGCCAATCGTCTGAATCCGGACGTGCTTTCAGTCCAGCTTGCGACAAAAACAAAATAAACAACAAATAAAGAGAGGGTGAGACATTCCCATACCCTGGGCTGGACAGCCGCCAGCTGACACAACCTGTTCCACTGACGCACATTAGCCGTGGCTTTAGGCAGGTGGGTGTGGCTTGGGCGTGTCCTGTAACTGGCGTTACATCCATACATCACCATGCTGCCCCCCCCCCCACACACACACACACACCAGTAGCTGCCAGACAAACTAGACCGATTGTAAGACATCCTGTACACGGCCCAAGTATCCAGCTACACCTGGCATGGCTGTCGGACTTATGGAAATGTAATGACAGGGTGAATAGGGGAAATGGGGGGGGGAATTGGGGACAGGCATTTAGACTCACTGAAGCATGGCTGTTTCACTGCGACACAACTTGGGCGACATGATTTCATTTATCACTGTGACACCTGGCTGGGCCCCGACAGAAAAAAAATAGCTTGTGGCTAAAAGCACGGGGGGGGTGGGATTTCAGAGGGGGTGGATGGGAAGAGACAGGAGACTCTATGGTCTATGGATCAAAAGGCAGGTTCTAATCCCAGGAGGGCCCGCCTTTGCTTCCTCACTAAATAAACAGCGAGTTGGGGTGGTTGGACTGCTCCGGCTGCTGGCTAACCAGCACTGCGGGTTGAGGTTCCTTTAAGCGTCTGCGTCAGCGCTCCCATGGATCTCTGCGAAGGCCCCGCCCTCCTCCGCCCGCCCGCCCGGCCGGCTCACCTGGTAGTTGCACTCCGGGTCCATGCAGTGGTAGTGCTCGCGGTACTGGTAGGCGCAGTGGACATGGCCGCAATGCTGACTGCCCGAAAACCTGTAGGGGGGCAAGTCGAGGCCCAGGCGGGCGCCGGTTAGGGATGGGATATGAAGCCGGGTCCAGCCGGCCACAAGCTGCAGCTGGCAGATACAGACGCCGCGCCCGGAGCATCCAGCCCACATCAGGGCTGGCTGTTTTTTATCAGGTGCTTCTGCGGCAGTGAAAATGAACACCTCACTCTGACGGAGGCTGCACAGATGCTGGGCTGACATGGTCCTCAGGTGACAGGGACACGTCTGTGATTAACTGCACCTTCGATGACCACAGTTATAGGAAGAGTGAGCGACAGTCTTTCATTGCGTGATTTTCCCATCCTGTCTTCCTGTCTCTCTCTCCGTCTCCGACCACATTCTGGCTCACGTTGTAAAAGCTCACATTAAAACAGCCCCCGGGTCACAGACAGTTGTACCCCCCCCCAGCAGTTTTACTTTTAACAAATGAGCTCTTTTAGATGTGGCGCTTATGTAGCCGTCTGCCGGGGAATCACCGACTGAGCCGCCACGCTTCCCCCCCGCCCCCCCCCACACTACCTGTGCCGCCCTCCTCGGGAGGTGATGCCACACAGCCGCACGGTCGCGTATTCTGCTCCAGCCACGTAAATTAGTTCAATTTATTTCAAAAGCG